CTTTAGAGATAACCCCCGTCCGGTAAAATATAAAAGAGCATCATCATGCTCAAATTTTTAGACGCACTATCCACTTGTAGCGGATCGCGATCATTCATGGTCCCCTACATCGCTGTCAAGGCGACTCGAAGTGCTGCCTCCGTGCATCCTATCCAGATAGCCTTGATACTTTTGGAAATACAGATCCGATAAGGCCTTCAACCCGCACAAATCGATTCTCCATGTAAATGCATCTAGACAAGATATGTATTTACAGAATATCATTATTCAAATTTATCAGTTTAGGAAAAAAGAGTGGAGTTGTGTTTCAAGAGAAAATCAAATGTAAGGAGTAACGACAAATGAATAAGATTGGCTAACATTTTTTTATCAAGTTGATAAATGCTGCTGTTTACTTCCGCAACGTGACGGTTGTTGGTCGTCAAAAAGCACAAACAAGCACCTACAGAACACATCCTGGGGGAATGCGGTGCAATTGCTGTGTCCCAACAATTGCCCACTCGCTTTTTTCTCTGCGTGACAACCACACAGGTCCGACTTGAGCCTTGCGATGGCGGGGGCTTCAACCGTCCTAGTAGGGGTCCTGCTGCTGCTGATGCCGGCGGTCGTCTCGAGTTCCACTTGGGTGGCGCAGGAGATTTTCGACACCGATAATTGCTCGAGTACACCGGTCGTTGTGAGTCTCACGGAATCGACCAGGTGTTCATCTCGCCAATGCATGTCGGTCGAAATCAACAACGACACCAAATTTATGAATTCCGAGTGTAACATCACCAACCGGTTCGCGTACGCTGGAGCGGTCTTCGGGGAGTACAATTACATTGTCGTAGAAGACTACGGAAGTGTCGGGTGCGAGAATTTACATCTGACAACGGTAATACCAGTCTCCGGGAGCTGCTCGGAGTCGACAGTGTACGGAAGATATTCCATCGTTTCGGCTCTGTTTGCGAACGGGTCTGCATTGATAGCATTGTACCCCCATGCAGATTGCGAGGGAGATGCTTATATGAATTTCGTTCTGGATAGTGGCAATATTTCGAGTGGAGACTGCGTCCTAGACTACTATAAATTCTACACGAGCGCCAGCGAGATTATCGATGAAATTGATAGCGGATCACTCGATACAGGCAACAATTCTGATGATGGAGATTCAGGCTCACGCCCGAGTTTACTAGCCATATTAGGCATCGTTCTAGCTGCAGGAGCGGTCGGGTTTATGACGGCCATCTTCTTTTGGAAACGACGAACACCCCGTGACGAGCAGAGTACTGAGGATCCCGATGATATTGTGTGTTGCGAGAGGTATACTTCGCTAAGAACAAGACAGAAAAGCACGGCGTTTAGTACAGGTACGAAGAGCTCTTACTCCAAGGACGGGATCAAAGAGCAACATAGCATCAGCTACTTCTGGGACGACGATGAGATCGCTGCAGCACGTGTCGACCGCGACAAGATTGACTTCGAAGGGGTGATCAGCCACGGCGGATACGGACAGGTCATGTCGGGCTGGTTCAACGGCCAGCACGTCGCAGTCAAGATGTTGCTACCAGAGAACCGCAAGAGCATGAAGTACCTCAGTTCCTTCTTAGAGGAAGTGAAGCTCATGTCCATGCTAGAACACCCTCGTATCGTGCAGTTCATTGGTGTGGCTTGGGACTCGCTCTCCGACATGTGTCTATTGACCGAATTCATGGAAGGAGGCGATCTACGAACTCTTCTAGCATCTTACGAGGCCCAGGACTACCCTGTCGGCTTCAACATGACCAAAGTGACCATTGCTCTGCACATTGCACACGCGCTAACGTATCTACACTCACTGGATCCGCCAGTGTTGCACCGCGACCTCAAGTCGAAGAACATTCTACTGAGCGCCACGCTGGACGCGCGACTGTCGGACTTTGGCGAATCACGGGAGCACGTTGACGAAACTATGACCTCGGGTGTGGGAACATCGCGCTGGATGGCGCCGGAAGTGATGATGGGGGAGAGATACGACCACAAGGCCGACGTGTTCTCCATGGGCGTGGTGCTGTCCGAGCTGGATCTCCACGCTTTGCCGTATTCGCACGCCGTGGACGACAACAACCCAAGTCGCAAGATCCCAAGCACAGCGATCGTGCATTTAGTGGCGATGGGGAAGCTACGGGTTGAGTTTTCTAGCGTCGGACCAATGACGGATTTGGGCTTGTCTTGCGTTGCAGTGAACCCGGACGATCGTCCGACCGCAGCTGAAGCGCTCTACAAGCTTCACACAGTTTTGACAACCGAGTATGATAGGGGGAGCTGGGATGAATAAGGGGTTTAACGTAATAACGTATTGAGTTGCGAGTGTCATGGCTTTCTAGAAGTTGTTGTTCGCATTGAACCACTCATCACTTGTAACCAGCTTTCGGTCCGCCTTGAAGTGCAGCCAGAATGCACTGCTCTCGCTCTTTTCCAAGCGCAGGCATCGAGAAGTTCTCTCGTCGAGAACGCACCGAGATCGGAGGCGGTGGCCATTGAAATGTTCGCACAGAAAGAGTCGATTTCGCGCAGCCCGGGCACCATAGCGGTCTTGCTCCGTACGGCTTCCCGTTGTGTCGGTGCTGTCCGGCTTTTGATGATCGATTGATGTGGCGTCCGTGCCAAACGCCTGCCTCAACCCACCGAGATTTCGGCCACGATGGGGAAGCAGCGTCTTCCATCTGTCTGCCAATCGCCGGGAGCCGAGAGGAGGGCGTTGTTCAGACTCCGGACTTCGGAGCAGTATCGTCGCTCAACGTTCATTCCACGATAACCGTCTTTTAGTGAAGGGTCCATTCGCCATGTCATGGTTCCGGGCGGTTGCGGTGGCTCCGCTGCTCGTGACGCCCTCGTTTGCGACGAACTGGTCTGCGAGAGAGCTCTACTCGGGAAGTCACTGCGCTGGGACGCCTAACGTGCTTAAAATGATCGAAACAGATACCTGCGACCCGCAAGCCTGTACGCCACATGATCTCGGGGGCTACACCCTGTTCGTGGCCGCATCTTGTAACGTTACGGACCGGTTCAAGTACACAGGAGAGCGATTCCAAGGCTTCGACTACGTCATGATGGAGGAGTACGACGGTGTCGGGTGTGCAAATTTAGTCCAAACTACCGTCTATCCAGCGTCAGGAACGTGTGAAAAATCCTCGGCACTTGCCAACACGTCCGATATCGTTAGTCTCTATTCGAACGGTACAGCGGTTGTCCTCCTGTTCGATGACGGTGACTGCGGTAGCAAACCCACACTGCAGTTTGAGCTGGACAGAGAGGCAATCTCGAACGGCGATTGCATTCAAGACCACTACAGATTCTACACAGGCACGGCATCCAGCAGAACAGCCTCTAGTAGCTCAGCTTATTCCTATGAAAACAGCCAAGGCAAATGGAGCTTCAGTGACAGTTCCGATGGCCTCGGTTGGGGTGCCATCACAGCCATCGTGGTCGGCTCTGTCGCGTGCGTCGCGTTCCTGGCTTTCGCCACTTTCAAGTACGTTCGACGGCGCTACGATGACAACCTTTCTAAGGACACAGGCATCGCTGCGCTGGCTGCTAGTTATGCCGGCTACCCGACACCAGAGAGCGCTCTGAACGCGATCACGTTAGGCTCTGAAGCTTCGTACTCACAGGGAAGTACTGAGGAAGAGGAGAAGCCACGGAGTCGTCGTGTTTTAAGTGGTACAAGTGGCTTGTGGGACGACGAGATCATCATCACAGCTCGCGTCCCACGCGAGAAGGTAATAGTGCAGGAACTTATCAGCCGAGGAGGCTACGGCGAAGTCTACTCGGGTATGTTTAACGATGAACCAGTGGCTGTTAAGATGCTGCTGCCGGAAATGCGCAAGAGCATCAGCCACTTGAACGCCTTCTTGGCCGAGGTGAAGCTCATGGCAACACTGAATCACGAACGCATCGTTCAATTCGTTGGAGTTGCGTGGGACTCACTCACCGACCTCTGTGTTCTATCGGAGTTCATGGAAGGTGGAGACCTCCGGACGCTTCTCAAGAACTGCGAGGAACACAACACGCCTCTTGGGTTCGACCGTAGCAAGGTTACCATTGCGCTTCACGTCGCGCATGCACTGACTTACCTGCACTCGTTGTCACCGCCAGTTCTTCATCGTGACCTCAAGTCCAAGAACATTTTATTGACAGCACAGTTGGACGCTAAACTCACGGATTTCGGCGTCTCTCGTGAGAGATCCGACCACACTATGACTGGAGGTGTCGGGTCCTCGCGGTGGATGGCACCGGAGGTGATGATGGGCGAACGGTACGACGACAAGGCCGACATGTTCTCGTTCGGTGTGGTGCTGGCTGAACTCGACCAGCATCTGCTACCGTACGCCCATGCCAAGGAGAATAGTGACTCTGGCCGAGCGATGCCCGACTTGGCTATCCTGCAAATGGTTGCTACTGGTAAGCTTCGCATCGAGTTCTCCTCGGCAGCTCCTAAGGCTATTAAGGAACTCGGCATGGCTTGCGTGTCCATTGACCCCAAGAACCGACCCACAGCGTCAGACGCGCTGTACAAACTCCACACCATCTTAGCTCGCGGACTTTAGAGATAACCCCCGTCCGGTAAAATATAAAAGAGCATCATCATGCTCAAATTTTTAGACGCACTATCCACTTGTAGCGGATCGCGATCATTACGTTCTTCACGGTGCAAGCTGTCCAACACGTCCAAAACATCCCCTAAACTTTCGAGCGCAATCGTCAACGTTGTGGTCGATCACGATGGATTTCTCGACGCCTAAAGAAATGTCAAGTTTAACCCTACCTCATTGTTGCGATGCATGCGCTATACGGTCTCGAGTGGACTTATCAACGAGTAGAGTGAGTGTTTTATCGCCTAGCCAGACCGGAATAGCAGTCGGAAGCTGGCGATTCTTCGCTGCGTCACGCTCAGATTCTGGTAGAATCATCAACATGGGGCCAACACCAGAGTTCTCACGCACAGCAGCAGCTGACTCTTGTAGCAACTCACTAAATCGCTCGATACTGAACGCAACTTGCTTAGTGTCGTTCCCTGGAGCAGTCACAATTGCTATGAGGTCTTCGGTCGTAGCAGACGCTTTCCTCTTCGTGATGAATGGAAGCATTTGGTCAAGACCCTCCTCCGTGAGTCGAAACCATAAACGTTTGCCTGCTGCTTGAACTCGAGCGAAAACCCTTAAGCCAGTGTCCAAGATCTGATAAATACATGTCAGTAATACAAAACAAATGAATCATCGAGTAACAACTTACGTGTGGATGTTCCCCCGCGAGAATCGCTTCACGAATGCTGGGGTTCACCAGACAGACGGACGACGTGCCTACCGACCGAGAGTACAGGTTTTCCTGCCACGTAAACAGAACGTGAGTAGAGTATCAATCACCAATGTATCTCAGACAACTTACATGCGGAAAGCTGTCTGCAATGCCGTAAAATTCTTTGATCTGCTCCCAATGATCCGCTCGTAGCTTCGTGTACCTCTGCTTCGCCGGTTTCTCGTCGTCGTTGTTAGTTTCGGGTAGAATAACGCCCTGTTCAGCGAATTTTAGCGCTTTACGCGTTGGTTTGCGTTCGCCACTGGCAGTGGCAGCAACCTCGTAGCTGCTGAGACCTCTTTGATGCTGTCCAGGTAGTTTAGCCCCCTTAACTTTTCGGAGAACTGCTACAAAGAAGCCTCCTGTGTTCTGGTCTGTTGGAAAGAGTCTTAAGCATCGCGGAAGCACCTTGCGGATCTCTTCGTCGACAGGTGGGAACATGGACCGTGTGATACGAGAACCCTGCAGGAAGTCGGGGACGCTCTCGTATTGGTCAAACCACTGCAACGGAGCTCGAGTCTCACCCTTAGCTGTACGGGCTTGCCACGCCACACTCCATGAGGTTACACCGGGGCGAGTGGTAAGACCAGGAAGCATCTCAGAGCAGTTCACAAGCTCCAGAGTGCCGTCTGCACGTCGTAGCAACTCGGCTACTACTGCCTCGTTCTCAACGGGTTTCAATGAACACGTTGAGTACGTCATGATCGAGTCGCCATTGTCGCGTAGTAGCGCAGCAGCTCGTAAGCCGAGATCAATCTGGATCGGATGCAACGTGAGAGCGCTGCCAGGAGCCCAGCGACCCCACAAGTTCCGGTTCTTGCGAATCGTGCCATCACCACTGCAAGGAACGTCACATAATACACGATCGAAGACGTTTGTGCGTTGTAGTTCGAGGTTAGAGTTGTAGAGTCCCGGAAACTCTTGACCTTTGTGGCAGGTAATGACGAAGTTATCAAGTCCCAGTCGTTGTAGCTGGTGAACAAGCAGATATCCGCGCTTCTCATTTGCGTCATTTGCCACAACGAAGCCTCTCGAATCGGTCGGACACTTATCCGATATCAAGGCCTCCATTATCTGCGTAGTTTTCGATCCAGGAGCAGCGCACATGTCCAATACGTTGTGATGAGGATGGACATCGAGCAACAGCGCTGGGATCATACTAACGGCTTCTTGACGACTCAGATTGCCCTCCGCTGTGTGATACAGCAGAAAAGCTCGGAAATCTTGGATTGCGCTGTTCTCGCGAGCACCTTTCGTGAGTGCAGTTTTGCCGCAGTCGAGTTGCCAGGCTCTGCCATGTTTGGCTGAATACCACGGCAATTCTCTAAATTAATACATTAGCAAACGTGTCAGCATATTCATATTCTATCAGATGAAGCCTTGAGTATCGCACCTTGGTGGTGTTAACGGTTGTCCGTCGCGGTGTGAAACTCTCGCAAAGTCCTCTGGGAATTCGTTGTTTAGTCGATCAATGATGGTATTTGCCACTGATGACATGGGATTGACTCTAAAACAGGCAGGAAGAGGAGCCTCCAGTGTAGCTTGAACATGCGCAGCTTCCTCAGGGCGAATAATACCTTGGCGCTGTGTCCGTAAAGCAGTCAGGTCAAGGACTTCTTAAGGATGATTTAACTAAAAGTGTCAATTACCAGATAGTACTGCATTATCAACGGCTGCTTGGTCGGCGCTTCAGCCGAAGCTGAGTCTTGTGCCGCACCATTCATACTACTACAATGCGTGGACACGCAACGAAGAGAATGCTGCCACCTCCGCCGATACACCAGAGGAATCGACGAGCGAGTGTGGCGCAGCATGCACGTCTACAGCAATGACACGCAAAATCAACTGACGCACGTCCACATAACATTTTAACCAATCACTGAACGAACATTATGTATCTTGAACAAAGTATGCTCTGACCTTTCCTACTGTGTTCACGCGGGGATGGCCTTGAGGAAGTGCAGCGCGAAGCTGAGGAGCGTCAGGATCTTGACCAACTCGGCTCCAACGTACAGAATGTGGTAAATCACCCTAGGGCGATCTTGGATCTGGACCTGGTGTCGGATCTCGCCGAACTGCATCTTCTGGTTGAACGACATGCTGTCGTCGTCCATCTCCTTGAGCGCTTCATACAGAGCGAACTCGGCCGTAAGCTGCAGCTTCGGGTAGAGCCACGCAGCCTGGACGGCTAACAGCAGCGTAGCGACGATGAGGCGCCACACAGCGTCGCCCGTCTCGGACGATACCAGGAAGTGCAGCAGCCAGAGCCCCGCGCAGAGTCCAATCTCGACTGAGTTGAGCGCTGCGAACATGGTGCGACCCAGATCCAGTGCCAGATGACGCGGCATGAACGGAGCGCGGAACTTGACCCACGACTCGGTGCATGAGATCGCGAGCACGAAGCCCAGCCACACGAGCGAGAGGAACGAAGCGGCCGCGCCCTTGGACATCCAGTCGAACTTGGCCGCCGCGGTGAAGATCACTCCCACGCCGGCGTACGCGGCGCTCAGGAGTCCGCGCTTCTTGCCGTCCATTATCAATGAGGAGCAGGGTCGAATGTGGTGGCTGCGGCAGGGTAGATTGCGGAATGACATGGATGATATCTAGCTTGAATTTTGGACCAATGAGAGGATCGACCATCATTTTGACATCACTTCAACGTAAGTTCAACACCGGGAATCGATCGTATCTCTAATAACCCTCCGATAGCCTCCCTCCCTGCAAGTCAATCGGTGATTTTGGTGCTCCCTATCGTCGTGGAGTGTGGCAGCAAGTTTCTTCGCAATGGTGAGGTTATGGAATGAGTCGGTATTGGCCTAGTGGTAAATCGAATGCAGGGTGGGGGCCACTACACCTGTCTCTTAGCAGAGCTCAAATGCGCCGCGATAACTGCACTTGCAACACAGCGCGTATGTTCACACACAATACTCGTTGTCGCTGCAGACGCTGGTAAGCGGTACCACCAATATGGCCACGTGAAGCTAGTTTCAGATATCAGGAGTGATCCGGCAATTTACCCATAGGATACACATGTACATATTCGACCTGATCGACTCGAAGCGTGAAGGCTGCGGCAACTTCGGGCCATTAGCTTGCTGTCGAACGCAGTGCCGATACGACGAAACGCTGGAGTGGAGACCATCGGTACGTCACTTCCGACACTCCAACTTGTGTCGGACGCATAACGTTGTGTGGCCAACACCGCACATAATTCAGATCGGTTGGACCGATCCTGTCTCACTTCGAACGCCACCGGAAGTAGAACGGGCTGGCCTCCAAGTCTTCGAGTCGAAAATGAACCCAACATGGCCATTACGTAGCTAACAGAATGAGCTTATAAAGACGTTTCCACAGCGCGAACTGCCGCCGACGGCGCCACGTGACTGTCGACTGCCCAACTGCATTCTGGCCTCATGCCCTTGCGCTTTAATCTGCCCGGATATTTTCCCCCAATTGAAATTTTTCGCCACAAAATCAAGTGGTGAAACCTGTGAGTACCAATCTCCCCGCCAAAAACACTAGACATCCGTTTTAACAGGAAAATGTGGAATGTAGCCCATACGCAAGATGCTCCACCTTCGTTGGGTAGGTCGCCGCCTCAAACTTGCCTTCCACCAGAACCTTCGGTCTCTGTTGGCACCACTTTTCGAAATGTGCACCATTGGACCCACACTGACCGCGCTTTTGCAGTCAGAAACACCTGCCAAACACGATCAGCCGCCCAAAATTTGTTTGGCCTTATCCGCACCTTCTGCGTGCGTTTGCAGATGCAAGGGGTAGGTAGATAATCGCACCTAAGCGCGAAACTCGCTCCCGCTCGCCAGCTCCTGTCACAAAGCAAAAGGCTTGATCCAGCGAAAGCCCCACTTATTCGGGACCGTCGTTTCGGTTTCTTTCGCTATCTAACTTCTCGCTCTGATCCAGAAAAAATGAGGTGCATGCGCTGGCTGTTGCTTGCGGCGGTGGCCCTCGCCGCCGTGCAGGCCGCTCCTGCGGACGAGCGCGCGCTGATGGAGCTTGAGGAGACGCTCCTGACTTCCGCACAGCTACAGAATGGCCGGCGGCTGCTCAGCGTCGACCTGTTCGAGGAGCACGCGGCGCGGTACCTGATGGCCGCCGCCGACACGACAGAAGAGGCCACAGCGCTTTTCAAGCTGTACAAGAAGTTGTACCCGGAGAGGGTGGCTGCCTGGGGCTCGACGGAAGCGACGCAGCTCGCCTACTTTGAGGAGAACGTGTTCCCCAGTATCCAGAAGAAGGCTAAGGCGCTGCTGTCCTCGACATCGGCCTCGGGCTCAGGAACGAACGTTGGTGACGAGTCGGGTACCGGTACGACTTCAGGCACCACTCGTGAGACAGACAGGAGCGACTCGACCACGTCGGGAAGCTCCAAGACCAGCAGCGGAACGTCGACCAGCGGTGGAACTTCGACGAGCAGCGGTACCTCCGGTACGTCTACCAACAGCGGGACGTCGAGTACATCAGGCACTTCGGGAACATCTACCTCGGGAGGAACCACGCATAGCGGTACATCTACTTCGGGAGGAACCACCTCGAGCGGTACATCTACCTCGGGAGGAACCACGTCTAGCGGTACATCTACTTCGGGAGGAACCACGTCTAGCGGTACTTCTACTTCGGGAGGAACTACCTCAAGCGGTACATCTACTTCGGGTGGAACCACGTCTAGCGGGACAACGTCTAGTGGTACGTCGACTAGCAGCGGAACTTCCACCTCGAGCGGTACATTGACTGCGACGTCGACGTCATCGACGACTAGCAGCGCGTCCGGCTCGTCCTTCTGGTCGACGACGTACAACTCGAAGCTGTCGTCGAACGTAGACTCGTTGAAGTCTCAGACCAGTACTGTCGAAACGGTCGTCGAGTCGTCGTCGGCTAGCAGTTCGTCCAGCTCCACTGCCGCCTCTGCGTACACTTCCCCGACTATCCTCAGCGGCTACACGAGCCCAACGCGTCGTTTCCTGTCGAGTGGCAGCTCGGACACGTCCAACATCGACGTGCTGTTCTGCGATATCGAGGGCAATGCTATCTGGAAGTGGAGTGCCGAGGACGTCCCAGATGCTACAGTCACCAACTCTTCCAGCTCGACTACAGAGATTGACGTCGACGTGGATGGTGTGTGCTCTGCTACCACGACGCTCACTGTGTCGGCGTACCAGACTGGTTGCTCACTCCAGAACCACCCCGAGGGCTGTGACAACGTCTACTACAAGGGCTGCGGAGGTATCACGGTCTCTCCTACGAGCGACCGTATCGTCATTGCTCGTACTGGTGGCCGCACTCTTGGCGTCCTTAACTACAAGACGGTTAACAACGCTTGCCAGGGTCAGGTCGTGGACGCTATTTCCACGTATCGTGGCAAGAAATTCAACAGTCCCACGTACGCTGAGTATGCCAACAACGGTATTCTGTACTTCACGGACAGTCCTTTCGGTCTGGCTACCAGTGACGCAGACTTTGACGGTGATACTCTGGACAAGTCGCCGCTGCGTGAGATCCCTTTCAACGGCGTCTACATGCTGCGTAACGGCACGGGCCAGTCGGTGGAGCTGGTGGACTGTGATATGACGCGACCCAACAAGATCGCCTTTTCGCCGGCCCAAGACATCATGTACATCACCAACTCGCAGAAGGGCAACTCGTACGTCAAGAGCTATATCATGGCTGACGACGGTACCGTCAGCAACTCGAGCGTTTTCTTCAACTTCACGGCGCACCCGGAGCTGGAGACCGACGATGGATACGCTAAGGGCATCAAGGTGGACGACAATGGCTACGTATACGTGGTGTGCTACAAGGGCGTGTACATTTTCTCTCCAGAGGCTGAATTGGCTGGCGCTATCATGAGCGACCAGGAGCTGGACTCGGTGTCGATGGGTCTTGGCCGCCTCTTCATCTCTGGCAGTTTTGGCCTCGTGGCACAGACCAGCGGCGTTCCCTACCAGTCACTCCCACAGGCTCAAGTCACGTGCAGTGCCTAGTCGCCCGATCAAAGCAGGGCGCACAATCTCTCTTGACTTCAAGAGACTCGAAGTATTCACATCGTTCTCTTTCCTCAACCTTTCCGCCTAAAGGACAGGTCTAAAACATGTTCATTGCCTTTAACCCAGTGCTCTCTTCTCTATACTTTCTCATTCCTCGACATTGCTGGGTCCTGCTTTGGCTCCTTTTTTCACTCCCTTCTTGCCTTCCTTATCTGTTGCAGAGCTGTCCGATGGCGTCAAAGTGGACGACGCGATGGTCGTAGTGAACTTGATGATCAGGTTGTTGCTTGTAATGGGCTCGTCTTCAGCGCGCCTCCGACCGTCTTCGCCTTCAGCGTAGGCGAGATTGGAACCCAAGAACTGCGAGACTCGCATGGCCAACTCCTTGATTGTGGTGCCACGTTTAACGATCACAGCGTCAGCGAAGATGCCCTTGTTGGTTGCTCCTGGTGTGGTGTTGGTGGCGAAGCTCTTCAACGACTTGACCGGATACACCACAACCACGTCAGCCAGCTCCACCGCTGCATTGATGGCAGCACGAACGCCTGTACTTCCATAACGGAACAGAACCATGTCGGAAATACGCTCCAGACGTCTGTGGATCTTCTTCTCAATCGGCTTTAATGGACCCAGACCTTTCTCGGCGTCAGCCTTGGCCTGCTCCTCGTCGTCATCTTCTAACGTCGAATAAAACATGGATCCTGGTTCATAGCGAATAAAGCGCTGCTTGTTGGCTGCTCGAAGGAAACACTCTGCAGCTGCACTAGCTACAAAGCAGCGGTCACTGCCGTACTTCTCGACGATCTTCTCAATATTACGGTCCGTGTCGTCGCCCTGATCGGCCTTGTTGAGCACGAGCACCGTGGGGAAGCGAATGTCCAGGAATATCTTCACCAAGTTGTGCACCTCCTCTTCTCCCCACGTCGACAAATCTACCGGCTCCTTAGCACTCAGCCGATCCAGCACTTTGCTCACCAGCGAGGGTGTAGCTCCATAGCCCGACAATTGGCCGACAAAGGTGGCCTGTAGACTGCTCTTGGTGGCTTTATGCCTTCTGGCAATGGAAGTCCAGCGTTTCCACAGGTTATTAAACACCCACTGGTGGATCTCCGTGTCTAGCCAGTCAGCATCGTTAATGGGGTCGTATCCCACGGTCTCTTCGCCCTTCTCGTTCGTGTGGCCAGACACGTCGATGATATGCATGAGTACTTGGGCGTGGCGCAGGTCGTCAAGAAACTTGTTACCGAGACCTGCGCCTTCTGATGCGCCGGGAATCAAACCAGCAACGTCCAACAGCTTCACGGGGATGTAGCGCGTGCCCTGTTCGCATTTACCGTAGCGTGGGGCGCACACCGACGTCTTGTTCTTGTCCAGACACGGACACGGCGTCATGTAGTACGTGATGCCCTCATTCGGCTCGATGGTCGTAAAGGGAAAGTTGCCCACCTTCGCCTTGCCGTCCGTCACGGCGTTAAAGAACGTTGATTTGCCCGCGCTGGGCTTGCCCACACACCCGATCACCAGCTCCATCTTGGTATCTGGTGGAGGAGCTTAAATGGCATTACTAAATTCCCTTGATAGAGTGACATTGACATCGAAGTGTGGTGCACATCGCTGGCATTTTTGCTGACGTACACTACAATTGACAGAGGATGTGGCGCTCTGGTCTCGTGCGCTCTCTATCGAGGCGCTACAGCCGCGCGTTCTCTGTGGTGTCTAGCTCGTCAAACTCTGTGGTGTCTACTCCATCGTTCGGTATCGCATTTGACATCGATGGCGTCTTGATCCGGTAGAGTTATTGCATTTGAAAGGATGATGCATGTTTACAGTTTCACTAATTTTTTGTTGTTGCTAGTGGCGGCCACAAACTGCCCAAGGCGAAGCGAGTGCTGCAGAGTCTGCGTGCGAACAACGTACCGCATATTTTTCTGACTAATGGCGGTGGCTGCATGGAGGAGAAGAAGGCCGAGAATCTCAGCAACATTCTGGACTTGCCCATCAACCCGGAGCACATGATCCTCTCACACACGCCCATGCGTGAGATTGCCAAGACCTACGGAGACAAGCGAGTGCTCATTATGGGCTCTCATGATGTTTGGCACGTGGTACGCTGCATGTTCTTTTCTGTTGGTGTACTGTAATTCGACGTGCTGGGTTTTGTGCGACTGTAGGCCAAGTGCTACGGCTTCAAGAAGGTCGTAAGCGTGGAGGACCTGTTGCATCACCACCCGACCCAGTATCCTTTCATTCACTACGAGCAAAGGTATGTCACCAGTGGTTTTGGCTGAGGCGGCAGGATTTTGTTGACCCTTGATTGAAATGTTCGAACAGGCCGGCACCGCACCACGAGGAGCCCATTGACGCTATCATTGTGATGCACGATCCGATCAACTGGGCGCCTGACATTCAGGTCGCAGTGGATGTGCTTATTGGAGGTGACCCTCCTGGAAGCGGTCGTCCGTCGGGCAAACAGACGCCATTGTTCGTAAGCAACGACGACTTTGTCTTCAGTGGTGCATATCCGTTTCCTAGATTCGCCCAAGGTACTGCGCAAGGCTACTCTGACGGTGCTAGATCGACCACGAGGTCTAATGTCTCTTTGTATTATATAGGAGCTTTTACGAGATGCTTGAAGCTGCTGTATGAAGACCTGACTGGCCGCAAGTTGGAGGTCACGAACTACGGCAAGCCTCACATTATCACGTACAAGTAAGTGCAATGCGTGTAAACCTTTACCTTTCTTCTATTTACATTTTCCTTTACCATTACAGCTACGCGGAACGTCTGCTCAACACGATCTCAGGGCAGTCCGAACCGCTCAAACACATGTACGGTATCGGCGACAACCCGTTGTCCGACATTCAGGGAGCTAATAACGCTGGTGACGAGTGGACGTCCATTCTTGTTCGCACGGGGATTTATGATGGCTCCAAGGACCCTGAGCACGAACCCGATGTAACCGTTGACGACGTGTACGAAGCCATCAAGCATATCTACAAGCGTGAGGGCATCAACGACTCCACGCTGTAAAACAGTGCAGACATGTCCATAAAGCAGCTAGAACTGTATCAACCATTCTAGATAATAGAAATTTGCTTTTCGCGCAGATTATAGTGTTATTGAAGTACAAGGTTGATCGCGGCGGTGTGGTTTGAAGTGTCTATTGCCTAGTACGAGGATAAGCCCGTGGCCAGATTTCGAAGCCACACACTAAACTCTTGAAGCACGGCGCGTTCTTGCATGGCCCTGAGATTCGTTTGCTCCTTGTGATCAGTCATAGTTGAGGGAGATATTGATCCATTTCCGTTTGTAGCCAACACGTCGTCATCGGCAGCAGCCTCACTGAACTCCTCCTCGCAAAATAAGCCTGCAGCAGTAGGAGACAGCGCTCCACGATCATCACTGGGATCAGGAACACGCTGAGGTTTGTTTGTCTTTGGTTGCTGGACTGATGCTTGATCCGTGGAAGTAGCAGGCTCCTTCTCCTCTGCGAACTCCACTGCCATCGCAGTGTGTAGTAGTGATCGACTGAGAATTGTAAGCTCCGGGTCACCGACTCCTTCTGTGTTCCGTGCGTCGTAGGCATTGGTGACAGTATCCTCGACATTCGGAAGCTCCACTGCCGGGACTGCGGCCTCTTGTATTCGCTCCATGAATGGCAATTGGTTAAAGCTTCGTCTGGTATATTTCCTCTTTGCAAATGTTGGAGTGACGACGCCCTCGTGTGTACTAACGAGGTCCAAGTGGCTAGATGGTCGCTTTGTAGGTGCTGTCGGAGGAACCCCTTCCATTGCCGAATCCATCCGCTGATATAGCTTAGAAGGAGCCACTGGAGCGCTTCTTGACAGCAATTCCAATGCCGAAGGCCGCTGTGTTGAGGCATTAGGCGGTGTAAGCATTCCGTTTAGTGGCCCTGAGTTCTTACTCCCACGGGATGGTCGCTTTACAAGCTTGCGTTGTGATGGTCGAATGGTGACGCGTAGATCATTGTCGTCCGCACTGACGCCTGCAAATACTAGCATCTTCTTCGCGGACACGAAAGTTTCCGTGTTGCGACACTGATGACATGCACATCGTGAGGTGCAGGCTACTCCAGCTTGATGACACTCGCAGTAATTCTTCATACAGCCACTCTTACGGCAATTACATCCTCGGAGATGCTGGCTCGACCCACTTGCGACTTTAGGCTGGAATGCCAATGGATTCCTATCCAAAATGGCAGCTACAGCTCGCTCTCGCTCCGCCAATGTCTCGGGTCGATTCTTGCATCCTTCACAATTGCAACGGTGGTCACACATACGCTGCGCTGCCAAGCACTCACAGTACAGCTTCAAGCAATTGGATTTCTTGCAGCTACATCCCTTGGTCCGCTCTGGCTGCGTCTGCACTTGACACCCTTTGCATAGACATCGAGGACAGCAAGATCCGAACAAACTCAAGCACGGACAGTCGCTGGTGCAGTTTCCATCTGCACAGGCACATACTGGCCTAGGCGAGGTACCAGCCATTGCCATGGCAGCTTTCCTCTCTGTAGGGAACGTCGCGGGTGGCTCTCTGTTGGTCATGGAGCTCCGAGGTGGCTGATTCGCTGGTTCTGTCAGAGTCTCAGACTCGGGGGCTCTGAAGGTCGGCCGGAAGGTCTTCTGCGTGCGCTTTTCGATGGCTTGGATAGCCTGAGCAATCTCCTCTTTGTTATTCTCCTGGTTCTTACAGCTTATGCACTGGCAGCGTTCACTGCAGCGAGCGCCGGCTGCGAAGCACTCGCAATAGAGCTTTAGACAGCCGGACTTCTTACAATTGCAACCCCGCCGTCGACCGCCGGGAGTCGAGTCGCCTGACTGTAGATACAGGAGAAAAACAGGTGAGAAGAAGGCTGTGGACAGAAAGGAGAGCACAACAGGGGCGGACGTACGTTCATCCGGGGGATGTGGGGTGCTCGGATAGAATGCGCGAAATGTGAATTTTCGATTCGAATTTGAATTTACCAGCCTTCAAAATGCGCCAAAGTGCGATTCGATTTGAGAGGTTGTGGACAATTATGGACAATTACAAATGCATAAAGAAACATGATAAGGAGACGGACGATAAAGATGAAGGTTTCCAAAAAGCACAAAGCCTCGTATTGGGTTTCAATTAGCAACGCTAAGCTTGAAGGTTGGTAGAGCAGTTGAACGCTACACAGACGTTATTTGTCTGCATGGCGATCGACTTATCCTTGGAGACAGGAGACTACGCTTAGTAGTCCTCGTCGCCGCCGAACATGTCCATGCCGCCGCCCATGTCGACCTCCTCTTCCTCCTCAACGGCCTCTTCCTTCTTCTCCTCCGTGGCAGCAGCGCCACCAGCGGGGGCAGCGACGGCGAAAGCCGACGGGTCAGCCAGGAAAGCCTTGTAGGGCTCGGCCTTCTCGAAAGAGAACTCCTCGCACTCCACAGCGATGGCCACCAGGTCCTTGAAGGCGTTGGCGATCGAGTGGGGGATCGAGGCGAGCGTGGGGATGCCCAGCTCCAGCGACATGGCGGCCACGTTGCGCAGGCCAGCCACGAACTTGGCGCAGAGGTCGGCCTCCGTCAGGTCCAGAACGGCAGGGTCGAAGATCGAACCGTTGTCGTACACCTGCTCGATCACAAGACCGTACGAGAACGGCTTGATGTCCAGCTTCTGCAGCAGAGCAGCCTCGGAGTTACCGACCTTCTCGCCCTTGCGGGTCAGCAGCACCTCCGTGACGATTTCAATCTGACCCTTCTGAATCTTGGTAGCGATCTGCAGGGCCTGGAAGAACGACGTCTGACCGGGGTCAGCGCCCGTGGGTCCAGGGGGCACAATGACATCCACCGGGGCGATGGAACCGACACGGGCCGGGGCGGGCACACGGTTCGACTCGAGCACCTCACGGATCTCGGCAAGGTCGTCGTTCGTGAACACGAAACCGACATTGCCCTTGAGCAGAGGGATGAACTGCTCGAGCGGGTGGCCAGGGTTCTTCTTCACGAAGTTGTGGAACACCTTGCGCATGAGCGTGTTCTTGCCCATGAGCACTTCAGCGCGGCCACGGAGCACCAGACGGATCTGCTGCATCTGGGCCGAACCCACATTGTCCACACCGACCAAGAAGATCTTGGTGTAGTTCTCGAGCAGAGACTCGAGCTTCTCGAAGTATTCGAGCTTACGTTCCTGAGAGAGACCCATGGCGAAGAAGAAGACGCAGTCGCTTTAACCAGTTAAGGAGACTTGCGCTTGGATTTTGGAAGTAAGCGGGGGCAACTGGTGCGATCAAAAGACCAAAAGCCCTCGCTTCCACCAGTTTCAATTGACCGGATAATTGTGTCAAAGCTTCCCTTCTTGATTGCTCCGCATCTACACTTTTGTAACAATCAGCAAATACATCGCGTTGATTGGTGAATTTTGATCTGGGGTCTGTCGGTGTACCCGTGAGAGGGGTACACGTAGCCATATTTGTGTCTGATACCTTGCATACTTTAACCAAGTGTCGCTCATTCAAGAGGCAGATCTGGCGCATCGGAGCAACACGCCGACGTACGCACGCTCCCCTCCTACTCACTCTCCTACTGATCTCCTTGTGCAGCCATGTCGGAGGCGCTAGCAAGCCGCGTGGTGCTGTACGTGCACGAGCTGCTGCACTCTCCAGCAGCTAACGACATCATGGTGCACGCGCACAAGCTGTTCGCGCGCATGGGTTTCCCGGAGCCGTACCCGGACGCCGAGCGCCTGGCCATCGCGTTTCTCACGGGCATCTTCACCCTGTTGGCGTACTTTGTGCTGTTTGGCAAGCGCCACCGTAGAAGACGAAAAGTACTGCAAGAAGAGCTAGATAAGGCTTACCAGAAGGTGCAGGAGCTGCAAGATCGCATGGCTCTGATGGAGGTGGAGGAGCGTGCGGAGCCTCCCAAGGAGCAGATCCGTATCTGGATGGACGGCGCCTTCGACATGATGCACTACGGACACATGAATGCCTTCCGTCAGGCCAGATCGCTCGGCACGTACCTCGTTGTGGGTGTCAACGATGACGAATCCATCACGGCCTGTAAGGGCGCTCCTCCTGTGCTTAATAACGAAGAGCGTATCGCATCTGTGGAGGGCTGCAAGTTCGTGGACGAAGTGGAGCCGCACTGTCCGTACATTATGAACGAGGACTATCTGCAACGTATGATCAAGAAGCACCGTATCGACTACGTGGTGCACGGAGACGACCCGTGCATCGTCGACGGGAAGGACGTATACGAATCGGCCCAGAAGCTCGGCAAGTACAGGACCATCCCGCGTACTGAGGGCGTGTCCACTAGCGATATTCTTGGCCGTATGCTCGTGATGCACAAGACTCACCACACGCACGACCACTTTGCTGCCAACGGCCAATTGTCGTCGCGGATGTTGCAGGACAAGAAGGCCAAGGAGCGTCCGTCAAAGTTCTTGACGACAAACCGCATGTTGCGCTTGTTCTCTGTGGGCAACCACGAGCCTCGGAAGACGGACAAGGTCGTGTACATTGATGGCGCGTTCGATATGTTCCACGCCGGACATGTCGAGATCCTACGTCTCGCCAAGCAGCAGGGCTCGTTCCTCATTGTGGGTGTGCACAATGACAGCGTCGTGAACGCCCACCGTGGTCTCAATTACCCGATTATGAACCTCCACGAGCGAGTGCTCAGCGTCCTTGGCTGCAAATACGTGGATGACGTGCTGATCGACGCGCCGTGGCAAGTGACGCCCGAGATGATCGCGTCTCTCAACATTTCTGTTGTCGTGCACGGCACACACCGCGATCAGCACCATCTGCCTGAGTTCTCGCTGGAGGAACACTACGAACATGCACGCAAGGTTGGCATCTTCCAGTTGATCCAGAGCCCAATCAAACTGGACGTAAACGACATCGTTGCGCGTATCAACGACAACCGCGAGCGTTTCGAGAAGAAGTTCGTGAGCAAGATGAAGTCCGAGGAGGAATACTACGCGGATCGCTACGGTAAGAACAAGAAGTAGGAAGGGAACATTGTCAAGGTGATGAAGAACTCGGTCTAGTGCCATCTCGTAGCTGCTAGTTGACGTCATGTATTGCTTCAATTCAATTGCATTGCTTTAGCCTGGTAGTTCACTGCAGCGTCACGTTCTACCCGTTACGACCAGGTTACCACGTCGGAATCTCTTTCTCGCCTTCATAGTAGGGACACCGACCAGTAAGATCCCATTTCTGGAACTCTTGATGCTGCGCCGTACGTCTCGTGGTCTTGTGTCCCTGCGGCTCTTGCTAATGCTCCTTGTGTCATTGCAGGTGCCGTGCTTCTGCATCGTTCGGTCCGCGTGCTTCCTCGCCAGCAGCTCGCTTCTCTCGTTCGAATACAGAGTGCTTTGACGCACGATCCTCGTGCCCCGGGAGCTGTTCGTTCGCTAGCGCTACTTTCGCTCTCCGCTCTCGCTCTGGCAACAGCGTCCTGCGCCCCCAAACTACCGATGGAGTCTGCTGACGCAGTTAAGGCCGAGGAGCTGTACAATGACAACTCTTTCGACCGTCGTGAGCTCCTCAACAAGCTCAAGGAGATGCACGCCGCTCATCCTGAAGATGTCGGCGTCATTTGGCGCCTCACTCGTGCTGCTTATGATGTTTCGAACCTGAAAGCTACGAGCGCCGACGAGAAGAAGGAGCTGACGTACTACGCGCGCGATATCATTCAGAAGGGTTTGGATCTAACCAAGGACGTTGCTGCAGTGCACAACTGGTGCGAAAGAGTCTGATTTTGGTTGCTACAAGTAGAAAACTCACGCGTATCTGTTACATTTCACTAGGTACGGGATCATTTTGTCCTCCATTGGGGACTACGAGGGCTCCAAGGTGTCGATCGCCAACTCATACGTGATCAAGAATCACTGGGAGAAGGCGATAGAGCTCAACCCTTCGAACCCCACGACGTATTACTTGCTGGGTCGCTGGTGTATCGCCATCGCTGACCTGTCGTGGCTGGAGCGTAAGGCGGCGGCTGTGCTGTTTGGTACGCCTCCCGAGTCCTCGTACGACGAAGCGCTGAGCTTCCTGCTCAAGTCGGAGGAGCTCGCTCCGGACTCGTGGAAGAAGCGATCGCTGCTCATCGCGCAGGTTTACCAGAAGAAAAAGGAGTATCCGACGGCGAAAGAATGGGTGAACAAGGCACTTGCGATCCCTATCGGCGTTGAGGAGGACGAGATCGCTCACGAAGAGGCTCAAGCGCTACTCAAGAAACTATAGTCATCTTGCCACGATGATAAAGTCAGCCTAGCAAAGCTGCAAATGGAATCCGCCAGCGCGTTCACCTCCGCAAGCAATTTCTTGTGTTTTTGCCGCGCCTGACGCTCGTCTAAAAGTCTTCGCCGCTATCAAAACAAGCAGCTCATTTACTATGTTTTCCTCTGTCACAGAGGCTCTGTGGCAACGAAAAACCAGTTTCTGTCTGTCTGTCCTTGTTTACAATTGCTTCGATATCCATCAGCGAGTGCGAAAGCTCCAACGTGGTGATCTCCAACTTTACGTGGTCAAGAGCCACTGAGAGCCTGTAACTCAGCAGATCAGACCAACGCCATGCCGTATTACCTTCCCCTGCTTTGGTAGATTGCAATTATCGGCCAGGATACCATATTCCAGCTAACGTGCGGGCTCTCAAAGCGCTAGAGTGGCCCGTACCTCTCGTGGAGAAGAACAACGTAGCGCACGAAGAGGCGCAAGCACTTCAAAGATGTATCTTCTGGCGATCTTCCCCAGCTCTTACAAACTTCTATACAACTATTTTAACCAATCAATAGCTCCCAGATCGGCAATTTGAAATAGCCTGGATTACAGCCAATAAGGCCTACGGCAAGGGGGGTGGTTATTAGACTGACTATTGCGGAAGCCAAGGCGCGAGACGTCCAGCCCTGCGCAGCCCCAGCTTCTCCTCGCTCTGCCCTGCTCCAGCGGGGGCCGCACCGCCTGCCGCCGCGTCAGCACACGCCTGTGCACTCGAGAACCCCCTTTTTCCCAGCCCCAAAGCGATGACGATCACGTCGGACGAGGTGAATTTCCTCGTCTATCGATACCTGCAGGAGTCGGGCTTCCTGCACTCGGCCTTTACCTTCGCGTACGAGAGCCAGCTAGCTAAGTCCAGCGTTATCAACACGGAGCTGCCTCCCGGCGCCCTCGTGTCCTTTATGCAGAAGGGGCTCCAGTATGTCGGTATCGAGGCGCACATCAACGAGGTTCGCGCCATAATTGACGCTATACATGAAGAATATGGAGCTGACTGCGTGGAATTTTGCAGGATGGAACAGAGCGCGAGTGCGATGGAGACTTCTCGCTACTGAGTCCGCATATCTGCCGCGTGGCACAATCCGCCTCGAGCAGCGCGAGGTCGTTCAAAGCCTCCAATAAGCGGAAACGGAAGGGGGACGGCTCGCCTGATGCTGTGGACGGTACGAAAGGTAGGGGAATAGTCTACGTATTGGTATATAGATTTTTTGTATTAACTGGAATATTGTGGATTGTTGCAGAAATGAACGGCGTAGATAAACTAGACAAAGAGGCGCTAGTGCTGCTGAGCGGACACGAGAAGGAAGTGTATGCATGCTCGTGGAGTCCCGTAAAGAACGTCTTGGTCTCTGGATCGAGCGACTCTACGGCGCGGGTCTGGTCGCTGCCGAACAAAGTGGAGAATAGCAAAGCTATTAAACCCAAAGTGTTGAGCCATGGCACAGGACCACACAAGGATGTCACGACTCTCGAGTGGAATGTACGTGCTTTGTTCCACCTGTTTTCTTTTCTGAGGACAAGCAGATGGAAAACTGACGAGGATGGATGCGTTTTGTGATGGAATTATTGCAGCATAATGGATCTTTGCTGGCGTCAGGAACTTATAATGGCAAGACACGAATCTGGGACGCGGAAGGCGAGATGAAGCACATTTTCCAGTACCACAACGGCCCAGTGTTTGCTACGCGGTGGAGCAAGAGCAGCTTGTTCCTACTCAGCGCTAGTTTTGATAAGACTGTGGTTGTATGGGACGCAGCGACTGAAACGAAGAAGCAGCAGCTGAAATTGCACGATGATCCGATCCTGGACGCATCGTGGAAAGATGACGCTACGTTTGCTACGTGCTCGTCAGATATGAGCATTTGTGTTGCTCGAGTGGGAGAAACTAAGGCTGATGTCGTGCTTCGAGGACACAAAGACGCGATTAACTCGGTCAAGTGGGATCCTGCTGGACGATATTTGGCGTCGTGTTCAGATGACTACACGGTAAAAATATGGGATCCGTCTAAGGCTATTGAGAAGAAGAATCCAGCAGATGGAGAGGCTATGGAGGTCGATAGCAACGAGAATAACAAGAAGGACACGGACTTGGATGCGGTAACTTCAGCTGCGTTGGTATACACTCTTCAAGAACACAAGAAGGAAGTGTATACGTTTCGTTGGAGCTGCACTGGGCCAGGCACATCGCTCCCGGATCAGCCGCTGACATTAGCCAGTGCATCTTTCGACGGCACCGTGAAGCTTTGGGACGCCGAATCAGGTTCCTGTAGGAGAACATTTGATCACCAGTACGTGACGTTCGATGTGCAACTGGATTTTTTTTACTAGTACTAATACTGTTGCTTGTTTGGTTCAGGTATCCTGTATATGGTGTTGCGTTTAGCCCGGATGGGGAGTACTTGGCTAGTGGAACAGTAGGGGGAATGGTCAACGTTTGGTCATTAAAGGTGCGCCTGACCAGACTTTTG